AATGCTACGATGCTGTATGATTCCACCTACATGACTTTCTGGAAAAGGCGAGACTAAGGAGATAGTAGAAAAATCAGTGGTTGCCAAGGGTTAGAGAGGAGGTAGGGCTGGCTAGGAGGAACACAGAAGTCTTGAGGAAACCAAGCTACACTGTGCGATACCATAATGACGGGGAGATGGCCTCCTATGTTCGTCCAAACCCATAGAACGTGCAGCACCAAGAGTGACCCCTAATGTAAACACTGGGCTTTACACAATGATGTGTCATTTGTGGGCTGACATGACCAGCGCAGGTTCGTGGACAGTCAATCGTACTGCTCTGTGTGGGGCCATGGGCTATATGGGAAATCTCTGCGTGTTCCTCTTAGTCGTGATGTGAACCTCAAACTGCTCTAAAAAAATTGTTTTAGAAAAGGGCCCTGACAGCCCCGGTGGCTCAGCAGTTTAGCTCTGCCTTCAAGCCCAGGGCATGACCCTGGAGACCCAGGATCGAGTCCTATGTCAGGCTCCCTGCATGGAGCCTGCTTCTCCCTCTGCCTGTGTCTCTGCGTCTCTCTCTCTCTCTCTCTCTCTCTCTCTCTCTCTCTCTCTGTGAATAAATAAATAAATAAATAAATCTTAAAAAAAGAAAAGGGCCCTGAAAAAGAAAAACTTCTCACTGCTGGTTGCTGACTCTGCATGAGCAGGGTGCTGAGCACAGCCCATCCACTCTGTATTTAGTTCTTCTAACCATCCCCAAGCAATAGATGGGGAAGCTCAGGCTCTGACACACTGGTCACCTGTCCAAAGCCATGCAATTAATTGGTCATTACAGAGCCATAAGTGATGCTGCAGCCCCTGCTCCTGGCCATGTCTCCACCTCAGTTGACTGTGGAAATGATGACGATGGTGATGACATCCCCTGCCAGGGTGGTTGTTAGTAGCACATGAGCCCTGTCTGCCAAGTTCCTCTGTAGAGGTTTCCATAGAAGTTATTATTGTATTAAGTGGAAGAGTGAGAAGCTGCTGTGTAAAGGATGTGTGTAAGCTCGGAAAGAGGAGCTCAGGGTAAACTCAAGGCAGCCACCTTTCTTAGGCCTGTGAGAACAGAACAGGGTGTGCGTGTTACGGAGGGTGTCAGGGCTCCCACCTCTGCCCCTCACTCTGGTAGTCTGGGCCATCCCTGCCCATTCTCTGCCCTCCTGGCTCCAAGCCTGGCCCTTATGGCCTCTCCAGAATCCAGGTGGGCTTCCCCTGACTTTTCATGCAGAGGATGGAGTACAGAGCTGGCCCAGAGGGATCCAGTGTGGCCTTAGCGGGTGCTCAAGGCTTTCCCACGCCGGGTCTCTCGTTATCTGAATGGCCTTGGACAAGTTACTTAACCTCCCTGAATTTCCATTTTTCATCCATAAAATGAGGATTTGGATACCTACAGCCCAGGGTTGTAGGAAGGATTGTGTGAGATAATGTACATAAGGTGACTCAGGTGTAGTAAGCCCTGCGTAACGATGAATGCTATCATTATGCAGCCATCCTTCTGTATTACGACATCAAGGAGGTGGAGCCCAGAGAGTAGAAGCAAGTCATTCAAGGCTGCACAGTTTACAGTGGGCACCATCTTCCTCTGTGATCATTTCCACCCCGGCCTTGGTCAAGCCTTTTCTTAGAATCCCTAACCCACGGGTGAATTGATCCCTGGATTTCACACCTGAACAATGCCCCTCACTCTCATTGGGCAATGGAATCAGAAAACTACAGGCTGCTACCGTTTCCCAGCTCTGCCACTCCTTAGCGAACCAGGGTGGTTTTGTTGAGCTCCTCTGTACTGAGGCTCTATCCTGCTTCACTTTGTGGAAGATAGCTGGGCTCCAAGGGATCAAGACACCCCTCCTCTCCTCGTGCGATTTTAATATTCCAAAGCCCCTTGCCCACAGCCAACCTCCCACCCTGCCTCTCCCGAGGGGACACAGACTCCTCAGCATTTCTCTGACTTGATACCTGTCCCCACCTTCTCAAAAGTGCTACCTGACATACAGATCTTCTGTCCAGTTAAAGTGAATTGAAAATAATTCTATTGGGAATTTTTCACAATAGTCCCCGAGATCCTGACACACCTCGGCACTGTGAAACAGAGCTCTGGCTCCTGTAAAGCTTTCTCTGATACCCCAGTGCCCTCCATTTACTGACCAACAGCCTTTGCCCTGGGCAATCCTCCCTGCTGGGGTCTCTGCTGCTCTGGAACCCTGCCTCCTCCTTCTCTTCCCACCCTAGGGGCCATGGCTACTGTCATTCCCTGCCCCTAGGGCCAGCACTCCCTTCCCTTCCTGTGCTAGCGGTGCTGCTACCAGGGCAACCCCATGGGCCCCAGGAGCAGGGGTGAGCCAGTGGCTGGTTGCGGGTAGAGACATGGTAGTGTGGGGACCCTACAGGGGCTCTTTGCGAGGCCCAGCTGGGACATCCATGGAGAGTCCACAGGAATGACCATGAGCACTAATGCAACAGGCCTCCCTAGGCTCCAGCTGTTCCAAACACCTAATAAACAGTAATCTATGAGGCAGATACTATCATTACCCCACTGTAGAGATGGGGGAGATTGAGACCCAGAAAGGTTAAGTAACTTGTTTGAGGTCACGCAGCTTGAAACTGGCAGAGCAGATTTGAGTCCATCATCTGGGCCAGCATGCCCCTTGAATACTGGGACTGGCCACCCTCTAATCTAATCCCACTTCCCCTGTCACCTCTCCCCTCTGCCACTGACAGGTGTCTCAAGTCGTGTCTGCAGTGACATCCTCAGGACACAGCTGCGTTCTCTTTGCAAGTCAGGACAAGCACCTGCCATGGATGGAAGCCCCTCGGCTTGCTTTCCCCCCGCCTGCAGATCCAGCCTCATCCCCGTGTCCCCCCCCCCAAATTCATATGTTGAAGTCTAACCCCACCCAGGTGATGGTATTGGGAAGTGGGGCATTTGGGAGGTGATTTAGGTCATGAATGGGATTAGTGCTTTTATAAAAGCGGCCCCAGAGATACCCCTCATCCCCCTTCTACCATGTGAAGATACAAGAAGTCAACAGTCTATAGACCAGAGAGGGGCCCTCACCCATCATGCTGGCACCCTGATCTTAGACTTCCACCCTCCAGAAATGTAAGAAAGAAATTCTGTTGCTCATAAGCCACCTACCTGTGACATTTTCTTAATGGCAGACCCAAAGAACTAAGAGAAGTGGTTTAGTGTGGTCACCTGGTTACCCTGAGCCTGGTCTGTGGCCAGATGCCTCGGGTACCGCGTGGAGACCTGTAATCAGCCCTGAGGTGGCAGGTCTGGGGTCAGGCCTGGAAGCACCCTCCACCCCTAGAGAGGCTGCCTGAGACCTTGACCTACAACCCACACCTGCCTGGGGGCTGAGGATATGAATGGGGCACCCAGAAGTGTAAGGTGTAGGGTGAAGGAAGTTATTGCCTCCAGCACTGGCCCTACTTGTCCCCTCCTTCATGCCTCCTTTTCTGTATCAACTGCTCCAGGAACAGACCCTGCCCAGCCCCCTGCCACCTTCTCCCATGTCCTTTCTCCTCCAGTCCAGATCCTCTTACCCTTCAACATACATAGCCTTGGTCCCCTTGCATCCAATGAGGAGGTACCCACAACACCACTCAGCACAGGACTCAGCAGGTAGGAGTTCAACAGGTGTGAGCTTCCTTGCCTTTTACCCATCACCTCTGCAGGGGTCTGGCCACAGCCATGCAGCCGAGTAGTGTACCTTGAAGCCCCTCATCATGGATGACACTCCTCTCCCTCCTCTCTTCCTGGGAAACACCTTCTCTTTCTTCAGAACTCAGCAGAGGTGTCACTTCAGGCAGTGTCACTGAAGGACCCTCACTCCAGCTGCCACCATCGGCTCACACTTCTTAGAACACCTACTGAGAAGATTTGATGCTATTGACTTGTTTGATGTCTCTAGACCCAGGTACACAAGGAAGTACACATCTCTTCCTTTTTGCTTTGAATTATTTAAAATTTCTAAAAATTCCACAAGTAATTCGTGAATATGTACATACTGTAAAAAAAGAAAATGGTACACAAAAAGCATAAGCCTCAAGTCCCTCCCCAGAAAATATCATAGTTAATAGTTTTTCATGTTTCTCTCTGTATAAATCGATTTAGTATTTTCTTACATATGTGAGATTTACCCATATGCATTGTTCTGTGGCTTGCTTTTGTCACTTAATAATGAACTGTACAGGTGGTAGGCAGAATAATGCCCCTTCTCCCAAAGATGTACATGTTCAAATCCCTTAAATCTGTGAATATGTGGCCCTCTATGGTTAAAGGGACTTTTGCAGATGTAATTAAGTTAAGGACCCTGAGACAAGAAAGTTATCCTGGATCATCTGGGCAGTCCCAATGTAATCATAAGAGCCTTTATAAGAGGGAGGCAAGAGGGTCAGAGAAAGATAGATTTGAAGATGCTACACTGTTGGCTTTAAATTAGAGGAAACAGACCCAGACAAGGAAGACCAGTTGCTTCCAGAAGCTGGAGAAGGCAAGGAAATGGATTCTTCTCTGGAGCCTCCAGAATGAATGCAGCTCTACAGAACCCTTGATTTTAGCCCAATGGGATTTTTGACTTATAGAACTATAAGATAATAAATTTGTAGTATCTTTTTTTAAAAGATTTTATTTATTCATGAGAGACACAGAGAGAGGGGCAGAGACATAGGAAGAGGGAGAAGCAGGTTCCCTACAGGGGAGTCTGATGTGGGACTCGATCCCAGGACCCCGGATCACGACCTGAGCTGAAGGCAGACGCTCAACCACTGACCCACCCAGGCGCCCCTAAGTTTGTGGCAATTTGTTATAGCAGCAATAGGAAATTAATGTGGTTGTATGCAGCTGAGATAAACCATAATATTTATGGTAGTAATTAGTATTTACTGAGAGTGTACTATATGTCAGATGCTGTTCTGGTGCTTGAGGTGGTGTATTAGTCTGCTCTGGCTGCCATAATGAAATGCCAAAGACTGAGTGGATTAAACAACAGAAATTTATTTTCTCAGAGTTCTGGAGGCCGGGAGTCCAAGATCAGGGTGCCCACGGGGTTAGTTCTTTCTGAAACCTCTCTCATTGGCTAGCAGATAGCCATCTTCTTCTTATCGCTTCACATGATCTTCTCTCTGTGTGCCCATCTTTTTGTCTCTTCTTCTTTTTCTAAGGCTACCAGTCAGATTAGATTAGGGTCCTACCTTAAATGGTCTCATTTTACCTTAATCGCCCCTTTAAAGGCAGGCACAGAATAGTTAAGTTACTTGCCCAAATTTACACAGCAAATAAGTGGCAAGGCCAGGTCAGGGAATTGCCTGTCCATAGACTCTGCCCATTTTTCTATGAGGTGTTTGTTCTTTCTGGTTTGTAGGTACATGGCAGCTCAGTAAGCATGGATCAATTGAAGGAGTGGGAGCAGCTCCCAGGACTCCTAAAAGAACATGGGTCAGGCTGGGCCAAGCTTCGGTGCCCCCACCCCCAACCTCTCCAGGTTGGCAGTACATGCCTCCAGGGAAAGAACAAAAACCAAGCAGACAGTGAGTGGTCATAGAGGATGGTGGGGGTGGAAGGTACCACCCTCTATTCATCAACTGAGCACAATCCTGGGAGACTTTCTGGAGGAGGGGGATAGTCTGTGTCTCCTAACCCTCACAAACTGTGGCAGACAATTCTGTAGCTTGGGGTATTCCATGGATAGTCGTGGGGTGCTAGTGCCAAATCTCTCCACCTGCAATTCCACATTCCAGATTCCAGGTACTCAAGTGTCCCAAGGGAACTCTTCAATATGAAAGATCCAGGACGGCTGCAAAAAAGAGATGACCAATGACTCAGCCAGCTATCTCCTGGATATGGGTAGCTGGCCAACACTCATGGCCAAGGCGGGGCTTGCCTTGACCTGGCCTGACAACTCATTTTGGTCACTGTGGCAAAGGGGACAGCTGCCATGGGCTTAGACAGGTCTGTGGCTAGCTGCCCAAATCAATGAGAATGCCCCAGTTACCTCTAGAGAGGGCAAATAATCATGGCCTTAATACACTCACCCCTCAGAGTGTGGAGGTCCAGAAGAAACTTCCCATGGCAGACCTTGTTTGGGTTTGGGGGCCACCATACTCACTCCCAGCCCTACTTCTTGACTCTTTCCCTCCATTCCTTCCTAGTCTCTCATAGCAGGCAATAGAGACACTCAGCAAAAACTCTGTCTTGATCCAAAATGGCACTCATTAGGGGATTTCTGGGATGCAAATAGAAGGTGAAATAATTCCCATTTCATCGTAGGCTCTCGGTATGAAGAAGCGTCGATATCAGGTAGTCCATTCTTCCCACTTAGCCTTCTAGGGGTTGAATTTCCTATATAACATTTTCAGGGCAGAATGGCTACTTAGTCTTTGTGAACTCCTCCAGTGATGGGGACCCTATCTTACAAAGTAGCCATTTACATCCCCAGGCAGTTCTCATGGCTGGAGAATTCATCTTTACATGGTCCTTCCTTACACTGTGTTCCATCTATTTCTTTCTCTTTCTGTCCATAGTTCTCACAGAAGATGGCCATTCCCTGTTCGTTTTCAGAGATTTGAAGGCAGCTTCAGGGTCACTTCCTCTGAGAAAGAACACCATGGAGTTTAGCAGGAGGAAAATCCAGTCCTTACAAGCCTCAGGGAAGGTTTGCCCTCAGTTTCAGACATGCTACAGAGAAACTGCATTACTGTCCTTCTCTGTGGACCCGGGTATGGTCCAGGGCAACAGTATGGTGGTTCTCTAGGCCCTTTGGACTGCAGACACAGAGCAGATACGTTGCAGATGCATAGCCTTGCTAGCTGGGAGAACCTCAGCCTATTGTCTGAGTCCCAGTGGAGTGTTTCTGGGTCCCTAGGGCTGGAAAGAAGGACACGGTGTCCTAGAAAGAGCGCTGTTCTCAGAACTTGACCACCAGGTGCCCAGTCCTGGTTCTTCCACTTCCTGGTTGGGATCCTTTAAGCAAGTTGCTTAAACTCTGAGCTTTAGTTTTGCCCTCTGTAAAATTGGAAAATATCTCATTGTATTGCTATGAGGATCAAATGACATCATGTATAGGAAAATGCTTTGTCAACCAAAACACACTCTTCAAATGGTTACCCAATTCAAGTGGTTGGTAAAAGGGCTTGTAGAGCCTGGAGGTTCTTTGGTCTGGGCCTTCCTAGTGGAAGAATGTCTAGGGCAGAGTTGGTTTTAAGAGGACTTCTGACTCTTCCGCAAGCCCTGTGGCTGGTCTTTGGCACCTTGAGGGGCTCTCTACTGAAGGCTCATGGCTCCCATCTTGCATGACCCCTACAGGGCCTCTGTACACACATCTCCAGGGAGGACTCTGGCCCAAGTACCTTAGCCTTGGCTTTGGAGACCTGGAGAAAGTTGAGTAAGCTTCTCAAAATCGAGGTTTGGGGTCGGGATTGTGCAGAAGGTGCAAGGCAAGGTCCCTTGGCTCATAGTTGGCTTTTTACTCTTCTCAGGAGGCCCCAGGGCTGACTGGCCAGAGCTGCACCTGCCCAGCCTCTGCCATGGCTCCCTGCCTAGCCTTTAATTTAGACAGATTAATTCTAATTCCCCAACTTGAGTCGGTTTTATTGAGAAAAATAGTGGAGGGACTGAGAGTCAGGGAACACAGCCTAATGACAGTGGAGGGATTATGAATTGAGAACATCTCATTTAATCCAACGCCCTCATTGGATAGATGAGGCCCTAGGAGGGGAAGGCTGCCCTAGGCAGGTAGTGGCTGGGTTGAGGTTTCTGTGTTTGTTGTGTTGGGGTTTCCTGTGTCCCAGGCCTGGGCTCTCTCCTGGCAGCTTCCATGGCTCTGCACAGATGCTGTGCCTCCAGCGTGTGGCCTGGACTCCATCTGGGCTCCCCAGCAGGCCCCAGTCCGTGACTTGGCAGAGATGACTGCCACCCTCACCCTCCCAGTGTCATGGGACAGGAGCCTCCACAAATAACAGCATGTTGCCACCTGCCTAACCCCAATCCGGTTTATCCTGAGTTAGCAGAAGCGCCTGTGAGATGTACTTCCCAGGTGGGGCCGGGCTGGGCAGCCCCAGCCTTCCTCATGCCACACAGTGCCCGGAGGCCAGCAGCACTGCAAACAAGGCAGAGGGGCGGGCTAGAGGTAGGGGAGCCAGGTCTGGGTGATCTGGGGGGCTGCAAGCTGAGGTGGGGCTAGGAGGAGCAGTCAGCCTGTTTCAGGGGGCACATCCCTACTCCCAGGGGGCAGCACCTACCTTGGGGGGCAGGAAGATGGGCCGGCAGGGGCCTTTGCCCAGGCTAGGCTGTGCCGGGGCCTCCTCTCTCTGCCTTCCCGTCCTCTCCGCTTGGGCTCCCCAGCTATAAAGCAGGAACAAGTCCCATCCCTTACCTGCCTGGAGGGACATTGAGCAGGAGTGAGATAATGTCTGCAGGCTCAGCCCTCCACTGAGAGAGGCAGCGTCTGAACACACATCTATTTTCACTGCCTAGAGCTCTGCTGGCTCCCTCCGGGGGCCCCTGCTGCTCCCTGGCCCCCAAGGAGACGGGAGCCTGGCCACTGTGTAGACCCCATGAGCCCATCCTAGGCATAGCAGAGGGAGCCTCTGAGCTCCAGCACCCAGGTTTCTCGGCCTGAACCTGGATTAACTCCTCACAGCCCATTGTTCATGGCTCAAGGAGCCACCCCCCCGCCCCTGGCATTCTGGTTCGACCAGGAGTCTGGGCGGCGGGGCGGGGCTGGGGCCTAATGAGCAGGGTGTGCCCTGAGGAGTTGTTAGGAGCGGGGTGACTGCTGTGGGCAGGTCCCCACCCACGGCCGGTGGGCGGGCCGGCTTGCACAACAGTCACCTGTGCGAGGGGCACCGCATGGCATCTTTGCCAAGTGTTTATTTTTAAAAAACAAATACTCATCTTTGGTGGCAAGGGTGGGGAATATTTCTATATATTTAAAAGAACATCAGGCTAACACTTTTTAACCCCTAGATCTATTGTATTAAGAGAGGTGATGCAATCGGTAGGGTTTGCAGCGCAATACAGAAAGGGTAAAACGCGAAAACTGTTCCTGGGTTCTGGTCTCCCTCAGCTGACCCCCTTGCCCAGGATTTTCAAAAGCAAGGGGCTTCTGCAGCCACTGGGGAGTCATGGGCAGGCGGGGCTCAGCCTTGGCCACCCCCCACACCTCTGTCCCGTCTCTGTGGGAAAAGTCAGCTGCAGCTCGGCCCCCTGCCCTGTGGAGGGCTTCCTGGGCCTGCCCGGGGTCCACTCATGGGGCTGGCACCCAGCTCCGGCGGCTCACGGAGTCTGGACCAAATGGGTCCTCCAAGGGACGACCGGGTGGACTCAAGGCACAGTTTGCCATCGAGTGTCTTCAGGGGACACGGTGCTGTTGTCAAGACACTGGGTGTCCAGTACTTTTTTTAAAAAAAAAAAAAGATTTTATTTATTTATTCATGAGAGACACAGAGAGAGAGGCAGACACAGGCAGAGGGAGAAGCAGGCTTCATGCAGGGAGCCCGATGTGGGACTCGATCTCGGGTCTCCAGGATCACGCCCTGGGCCAAAGGTAGGGGCCAAACCACTGAGCCACCCAGGGATCCCCTGTCCAGTGCCTTTGAGCACAGGTTTGGTGGGTGTGTGGAAGTGGGTCACTGGAGGACTGCGGCCGAAGCACCTGTGTCTGCATCTGCAGCCTTGTCTTCAGGGTCCTGCTGTTCACTGCAGGGTCTCCAGTTGAGCAACGGGGTTGGGGAATCCGAGGCCTTGATGGGCCTCTGGCTGCGGGGAAGACCGAAGGCAGGCAAGCCCGAAGAGCTGAGGTGGTAAAAACGGCCTCTGGAAGCTCAGGTAGATACCTCTGGGTCCCACAGCCCAGGATGAGAATCTGGAGCCCCAAGACCTCTGTGTGGCACGGGGTTGGGGGGTGCAGGGGTGGAGTCCAGAATAGAGATCGGTCCTCTGGGTTCTCTTCCCAGTATCACAGGTGCCTGGACCTCAGGGAGCACAACTGCTCAAATCTCCTTCATCGAATAGCTTCGCAGCTCGCTGTGGGGGCTCTGAGGGGCCAAGACCAAACCTTCCTTTTGGGGAGCTGTTGCCAGCACGACTTTCTATCTAGCTCCAGCTCAGATCTCTCTTCAGAGCCCTAGATCCTGCTGGGCTGCGCATCTGACACTGCTCACCTCATCTCTACAGGCAGAAGGTGGACACCATCACCTCTGCGGAAGTAAAGTGTAGACCTCTTTCCTGTCCCCCACCATCCCCTCCCTCAGTCCCTGTACTCCCCACATCATGGCCCCTCAGGCTCTAGGACATTCTAAGCTCATACTTCCATCTCTGCAACACACTGTAGTTACTGTTCTTACTTCTATTCTTTCTTTCTTTCTTTCTTTCTTTCTTTCTTTTTCTTCCTTCTTTCTTTCTTTTTCTTTCTTTTTTTAAGATTTTATTTATTTATTCATGAGGGAGAGAGAGAGAGAGAGAGGCAGAGACATAGGCAGAGGGAGAAGCAGACTCCCTGCAGGGAGCCTGATGCAGGATTCAATCCCAGGACCCCAGGATCATGACCCAAGCCAAAGGCAGATGCTCAACCACTGAGCCATCCAGGTGCGCCTCTTACCTCTATTTTCAGACTTATTTTAGAAATTTAAAAGTCCCACCTTCCCTCTTCTGGGGAGCAAACTTCAGCCAAGCCCTTGAAATGTGTCTCTGTGGAGGGAGCTTCCACCTCCAGCAAGGGAAGGGGGTTGTCAGAACCTGGAGGTTAATTGTTAGGGCAGGAGACAGCCACAATTGGAGGGGTTGGAATAGATAATCTAGAAGTATCTCCAATCTTAATTGTAAGACTGCCTTCAGTGAGGTGAGAGGGGCAGAGGCTATGCCTAATGTAGCCCAAGAACTTAGGCAAGTCTGCTCTCCATTCTGAGCCTCAATTTCCCCATCTCCAAACTGGGAATGATGGAGTCCACCTCCCAGGGTACTGGGAGGACCAAGTGATATAACCATTGCAAAAGCTTTAACACCGAGCTGGCATGTAGGAGATGCTTCATAAATGCCAGCTCCTTTACCCTCTCCCACAAGGCAGCTGTCCACTCCAGGTGCCCCCATAACACACACTTGCCCCAGGACACTCAGGACCCATGAGGAGGTGGGGGACCCGGCAGCAGGGGTGGTGGGGATTGTGAAAACCGGGTGTTAACAAATTGCCCAGCACTGTGGCCCTCATGTTTGCCTCCTAATTAGCCCGAGTTAATGAACAGCATGATTCATGATTCGCTGCTTCTCGAGGGTGCCCTTGCTGTTTGCCTTCCTCCCATCTGGGCCGCACAGCTGCTCCCACCCCCATGCCACCGCCTGCATCATTCCTCAGCCACATGGCGAGCCTGGACGTCAGCCGCATGCGGGGGATTGGGGGATTGGGGGATCAGCTCTCCCCGGCTCCTTGGGCCTTCAGCCCTGCCCCAGTCTTGTTCCTGAACAGGCAGAGGCAGGAGGGGCATCTCAGCCAGTGCTGAGGGACTCAGGGTAGAAAGTCCTGAGCTGGTTCCTGGTTCCTATACCCCCCCCCCTTTTTTTAAAAACAGATGATCGACTTGGCATAGGCCACATAAGGTACTATGTGTGGAGTCCAGGCTCTCAGGCTGAGGCTGCTGAGGCTCATCATAGCACCCTCACCTGCCTTCCTTGGGCCCCACCACACCTGACACACACCCAAGGCAGGGCCTTCTCCTCTTGGTACGAGCAGATCTCTAGGGTACCGGCTGGGTTTGCAGGGCCCTGTTCTCAGCAAATGAGTTCATGAGAGAGGCCTCCTGAACCTTCCACTTTGACCCACACTCCTTGACTATGTGAGGTGATATCTGGCCCCTCGAGCAGGGTGGGAGTGGGGGAGAGCAGAGGTGAAAAAGACCCAATACAGAGACATAAGAAATCAGGCTCCTTAGGATGAAATTCATCAGGAAGTCCTTCTAGAACTTCTCTCCCCCAGTAGTACAAGGTTTGTTAGGTTGTTTGTGATAGCATATTTTGCTCGGTTTTATTGTAAAATAACATAAAATTTACCTTATTTTTTAAAAAAGATTTTATTTATTTGAGAGAGAGAGAGATTGAGAGAGAACTAGAGAAAGCACAAGTGGGAGGGAGGAGCAGGCTCCCCACTGAGCAGGGAGCCTGATGTGGGGCTCCATCCCAGGACCCCAGATCATGACCTGAGCTGAAGGCAGTTTCTCAACCGAGTCACCCAGGTGCCCCCCAAGTTTACCTTATTAATAATCTTTAACTGTACAGTTCAGTAGTGCTAAGTATATTCATATTGTACAACCAATCTCCATAACATTTCATTTTGCAAAACTGAAGCTCCATATCCATCAAACAGAACTCCCCATTCCCTCTCTCCCCAGCCCATGGCAACTGTTTTTTTTTTTATTTTTTTTAACTGAAATACATTCTACATACGGTGAGATGAATAGATCTTAAGTGTAAAATCTGGTGACTTTTGAAAGATGCATATACCTATGTAATCTCATTTCCAATCAAGATACAGCATATTCCCATCACCCCATGATGTTGTCATATTTCCCTTTTAAAAAATTTTGTTTTTCAGTCTTAAGTATAATCATAGTCACCATGTGATGATGATTCCCAGAACATTAGACGCCCAGAACTTTTCTGTCAATCCCCCCACTGCCATCCCAAGGCAACCAATGTCCTGATTTCTATCATCATGGATTGATTTTGCCTGTTCTAGATCTTCATAAAAATGGAAACATCCCATTTGTACCCTTGTGTGCTTGTCTTTCTTTTAACATAATATAATATTGAGACTCAGCCATGTAGTATCTATCAATGGATTGGTTTATTCGTTTCCATTGCTGAGTAGTATTCTGTTACACGAAGATAACATAACTTGTTTATGTACCCATCTATGGATGGATATTTGGGTCATTTCTAGTTTTCCTGCTATTATGAATAAAACTGCTGTGAACATTTTTGGATGATTTTTCTTATGAATATGTGTTTTCTTGTTTCTTGGATAAATACATAGGAATGGAATTGGTGAATCATCAGGTATGTGTATGTTTCACTTTATAAGAAACTGCTAGACAGCTTTCCAAAATGGTTGTACCATTTTACACTCCCATCAACGATGTATGAGTTCTATCTAGTTGCTCCATGTCCTCACCAGGATTTGGTATTGTTGCTCTTTTTAAGTTCCGCCATTCCAGTGGGTGTGAAATGTTACTGCACATTTCCTAACACAGAGATGTTGAGCAATTCTCATTCGGTTATTGGCCACTTGTAATCTTCTGTGACATGTCTGGTCAAGTCTTTTGCTCTCTTTCATTTATTGTTTTTGGGTTTTTTTTTTTTTGGTCTTTTTGTTATTGATTTGTTAGTGTTCTTTCTATATCCTGGATACCAGAACTTTGTCAGATATCTATTTAGTGAATATTTCTTTGCAGACTGGCTTGTCTGTTTTTTTTTAATAGTGTCTTTTGCTTTTAAAAATTTTTGATGAAGTCCAGTTTATCAAATTTTTTAATCGTTTGTAGTTTTGCGACCTTTCAAGAAAACTTTGCCTGCTCTGAGCTCATGAAAAATTTCTTCTCTGTTCCCTTTTAGAAGCT